CGATGTTTACAGAGAGAACAGCTGTGAGGTCCGTGCAGAAAGCAGAGCAGTGTGTAAAAATATATATCACACAGTAGCCTATAACAGGCCTACATTACTCTCTGTATTTATTTGCTTTAGTTTAGTAGATATCTACAAACAAAGAGTCGATATTTTTCTAAGACCATATGCTTCACATAATAAAATACACAACGGCTGTAGTCTGATTATATGCTTTAGGAGCTGTGTGTGTGTGGTACAGTGTGTGTGTGTGTGTGGTATAGTGTGTAGGTGTGTGTGTGTTACAGTGTAGGTGTGTGTGTTGTACAGTGCGTAGATGCGGCGGACAGACGGGTCTCAGTTGGTTTGGTGTCCTCTGCTTACTTTTAATACTTGTAAATACAACTTTTGGCCCGTAATTTAAATTCCCCATTTCAGCAACCAGAGAGAGGGGGGGATATATCCAGTCTCTGATAGTGTTACGTTATTATGAGAGTGCTCTCATACTTGTTTGATTCTGAAATGTATATAAATATATGTGTGTGAATATGTCCGCATCTGTAGCCTGTTATTGTCTCATTATACCGCACTGTCAATGAATATATCAGTCAGTCAATATATAAGTCGTCATGAACACATCTGTCCATCAGACAGAGCGCTGCTGTGCCTCCTGTCATCATTAATGGACGTCTCTTTAAAATGACTGCTCAGAGGAGAGGAGTTCTCATTTCTCTAACCGCCTGCTGCTTCCCCTCCTCTCTCCTCGGTTCCCCTCCTTGAGTCCTCCGCTCGCATCTCCTGTGGGCAGGACTAAGTCTTGAGGATAGGAGTCGAGGATAGGAGTCGAGGAGGGGAAATTAGAGTATTGAGAAGCCTCTAGGGCAGAGGTCGGCAACAGGCGGACCGCGGTCCGGATCCGGACCCAGACGCCGACCTATACGGACCAGGACCTATAATCAATACATTAATAGGGGATTTCAATTTTGACGGGCGATTCTATTTTAACTGCCGCCGACAGGGGGCGAAAGAGACGAGTGAGCGATACAGGGAGATAAACACAGAAGAAGAGACGAGAGAGTGGCAGAAGCGGAGAGGAAAGTGAGTGAAGAGAATAATTAGCGATACAGGGAGAGAAGCGGAGAGGAGAGTGAACAGGCGTGTTAGCGGCAGACAGGGAGAGACAACTAATGACACATTGCGCTCTCCACGAAGAGGAAAGTGGACAGTGAGAACAGAGCTTTTAACCCTGAGTGGACTCATTCATGTTCATCCTGCCCACTGGGAGCACAGAACCAGGGGGTCTCATTTGTTCAGAGACCGTGGCGCTCATTAAAAGTGCCAAAACCGTGTTGACGTCACAAAAAACAAGCAGTCTCAGAGCCCAATATGATCAGTCCACCAGAATCAAAATTAAAACTAAATATCGTTCCAGGGCAGGCTAACCGAGGCTAACCAATGAGCACCTGCATGTGTGTATGAGAATGGCCCTGACACCATTTCAGCCCAGAATCTATGGGATTAGTTTTGTATCATAAAGATAAAGCAACACTTTCTCAGAATAAAGCAAAATTAAAAAAACAGAGTCAAGCAAAATAAAATACATTTCAAAAATAAAACTATAAATTGCAAACAAATCATTTGCGTAATCATGTAAACTATAAGTCTTTTTTCTTTGTTTTAACATAGGTTTTTGTTTGCAGTTCTTGTTTCTTCTTTCTCAATGATCAGACTTTTGCTCTCGCTGCAGCTCTTCTCGTTTGTGCTCCCTCATTTTTTATTTTGGACGGTAGGTTTTCCTACAAAGTTAACTCAACCTCCATTGATTTTCATATCAAATTAGCGTGTTAATAAAATAAGCTATCATGGCTTATACTTGCATATCTAAACAGAATCATGAAAGCCTGTTGGTAGAGTCAGGCACACGAGTCCGTTTGAGTGTGTGCGCCGGTGTGTCTGAACGCTCACTCACTGCTCGCTTTGTAGCTAACTGTCCCTGCTATTAGGCTACTTAGCTTGCATTGTTATGGATCTAAAGTTAGCAAAAGCTAACTTTCATAGCACAGCTTTACTTCTCACTTAACACAATAAAGAAACAGACCGTATAGTACAGTACAAACAACACAAATGATCAATACTTACATATATTTTCACTTGTAGTATTATAATGCTGGTTCTTCTGCGGGTCTTCTATCCACGCTCAGCTACCGCAGCTGCCTGCACTGTACAATCGCTGGAGGACTGGGCTGTAACTCAAAAACTGAGTAGCCAATGGGGACGCACCCCTGAAAGTCCCACCCAACTGGGAGGTTTGTGTCAAAATCTCAAACAAAAAGTGAAGGAGTGCAAATGAGAGAGCTGCAGCGAGAGCAAAAGTCTGATCATTGAGAAAGAACAAACAAGAACTGCAAACAAAAACCTATGTTAAAACAAAGAAAACAGACTTATAGTTTACATGATTACACAAATTTGATTTGTTTGCAAGTAATAGTTTTATTTTTGAAATGTATTGTATTTTGCTTGACTGTTTTTTTCCCCTTTAAACTCATAGTTTTGCTTTATTCTGAGAAAGTGTTGCTTTATCTTTATGAAACAAAACTAATCCCATATTAGTGGCCGACTCCGCCTACTAAGGGCTTCTCGGCAACTCTGCAGAATCCTATGGGTGACGTCACGGACCCTACGTCCATTTATATATACAGTCTATGGGTGGGAGCTGATATTATGGTGAGCTGGCCCTTTAACTGAGCTCCAGGGGGGCGTGGTCAGCCTAAAAATGGCATCAACAGATGATGCTCATTTAAAGGTCCCATGACATGGCCATTTCTACTGATCATAATTCCATTGTTGAGGTCCACTAGAATATATTTACATTGTTTAATGTTCAAAAATCACATTGGTTTCTCATACAGCATCTCTGTATAGTACGTGTATTCACTCTCTGTCCTAAACGGCTTGTTGGAGCTCCTACCCCCCCTCCCTATGAGCCCACTGTGCTCTGATTGGTGAGCTCGCCCACTCTGTTCTGATGAGTCCATCACCGTTACAGCGGAACATCAGTGATTATGTGTTCAGTGGCGGAGCTGGGGGGTGGCTGAATCCTCAACACGTTCTCACTCCCAACCCGTCACATGTTGACGGTCGGTCAGGGCCCCTCCCCGGCACTCTATTACGGACAGGGTACCCCTTGAGAGTCAGTTTTCAACGGGCAGGGCGTCCCATAGACGGGCAGGGCGTCCCATAGACCTCCCATAGCGTTGATAATACGCCATGAGAACGCTCCCCGACGGTCGGTTGTTATTGTCAATATTAATATAATAATTAGCCAAACTCGATTTCGCCGATTTTCTCGTTGCCCCAGCTGGTCGACACCTCTTTTAGCAGAAACAAAGGCTACATTAATCTATTAAATCGATGTTAATCCATGTGTGTGGTTGTGGAATTAATGGACGTGTCGTTGTGCGATTGCGTTGGCCAGGCAATCATTTACAAACTCTTCAACTACAACCCTAATTATATTTAAAAATATTTTAGAAGGCCTCATGAAATAATTTAATGTAAATTTAAATTTAAATGTGAAGGGATGTGTGTAATGTGGTGATTGACATTATTCACCCACGGATCTATGGGTTGGGGTATTGTTCCGCACGGACATTTTAGTTAACCGGACTTCCTGTTGATGTGAAATCCGAAAACATTTAAAAAAAATAAAATAATACTTTATTCCGAGTTTGCTTGCTTTTCTCTTTGGAGGTCATCACATAACGGCATTGTAATACACGGTTCGGCTGCATTAAATATTACATATCTGCTGTGGTTCGCTATTTATAGAGCCGTGGTGAGAAGACTTCTAGACAAACAGGAACAACTGCCGCCGAAACTGAATATGTGACGTGGATCATAAATATATCAGCAATTAAACAACATCTTTGCAGTATCAATACTAATTCGGCTGACTTTTATATTTGATCCAATCGGTATATTGGTATATTTACACCATAACGGTGCACAGCTGATAGAAAGGGACACCTGGTGGTTAAAGCACATTATTGAAATGTATTATTTTTATTATTAGATATTAATAGGAGACACAGAAAGACAAACTAATAAGGCTTTATTTAAACATTAAAGAATATAGGTTAAGGTCTTATTTTGAATAAGAAAAAAGCGGCGCTGTAGTCTGCCACAAAAGCAGTGAAGAAGACTTCCCTTGCATGGTTGCCATGGTTGCCCTTCTGTTTATTCTCCGCTGAGGCTCTTTTTCTCCCTCCCCGAGGCAAGCGTTTGCGCCTCCTGCTTTAAAACAAATGAATAATGACTCTATATAATCATATGTAAGGGAGAATGTGTAGCGACGCGGTCATTATGTGGAAAAGAACACCGACAGGCTGATCAGGAGCCCGACGAGAAGCGGAGGGATCTAGATCGGCAATACACACCTATTGCACAACCCTCATGGCCAACATTTAAAAAGTAGATTTCCTTACATTTGACTACATTTCATTTCATGTGAATGTTAAGAAGCTTTATGGACATAGGTAGGAATGAGTGCTTATAGCGGGTCAGCCTGCTCTTGGGAACCCTGAATCTTCTACCAGAAGGTAGGAGCTGGAATTCTGTCCGAATTCTGTCTGAAAGCCTGTCCGTAGGCATGTGCAATGCACTCGCAGAGCCAGCCTGCCAGGCGTTTCTTGGACATTCCCGATCACCCCGCCCCCAACGCACACAAACAGCTGTTGGGTGCGTCTAAGGGCAGCCGTGCGCTCCACATACCATGCTAGCGCACACACCGGGCAGAGGAGGTACAGTTTAGTTTCCTTGGCCCTACCATGGGGGTAAGACTAAAACCCCCTAACTGAATAGCCCCCGACCTGAACGCACTCCTTAGGCTCTTGGGCACAAAGGAGGGGTTCGGTCTGAGTGTCGTGCCGCGCCGGTCACCCCGAATCAGTAAACAGCTCGGGTGCACCGACAGAGCGGTTAACTCGGACACTCTTTTAAGGAAAGATAGTGGATGTACTTACCTTGACCCCGCGCTGGCTGAGGAAACAGAGAGACAAGAGCGAAGCCTAGCAGGCAGAGACTCAGTCCGACTGAGAAATGCATCCTGGAAGCAGCAGACAGGAGGGCACGACACACCTGGAGAAGTAAAAACAAGTATGAGAAAGACAGATGAGTGAGGAGAAAGCAGGGAAAAGGACAGGAGGATGAGACGCAGGTAAAATAATTTGAAGGAAAGAGTGAGTCAAATAAGGAAGTACAAGTGTAGCGACAGCAGGAAACAAACAAAGTCGCTGAGAGGCTGAGGCCGGGCCTGTTTGATGTTGTATGACACGCTAAAAAAGTACTTGCTGAGATCAAAAGCTCTGTGTCGTAGTATTGTAGTTTAATGACAAAAAACTAGGTGATCAGACATATACATTGTTATAATAATCAAAGCAATCGTAAATCTTGCGGTTCACGCAGGTGAACAGGATTATAATGAGTGCCGCCCATATCCATGTGACCCAAGCCAACCAATCAATAGTGATCAAACAAATATCTTATATTAAAACATAAAGGATTACTAAACACGTTTCATGGCTCCTACAACAAGGATTTGAGGAGTAGAAATTGAAGAAAAAGAGAATGTGTGAGGGGTATTGTGGGAGAAGGGGGAGAGGAGCACAGAGAAAGCGAAAGGGATTTAAACACCGTGAAAAAGGATTAAAATCTCTGTCGCACAAAAATAGCATGTGGTTTTAGCAGGTATGGATTTGTAAAAGTAGAGAAAGAAAATATGAATAGACATCCATCTGTAGGTAAAGCCATCCTTTGATGATATACAGACATGTTCACTTACATCACAGATGTTATGACCCTGTCCCTCCCATCAAATCTCTTGCAAACTGATGACCAATTTTCTACAATTTTTGTAACTGCAAAAATCTCTGGTTTTCCAAATAACACCTGTTTGGCTAGTCTGTAAGTGTTCCCTTTTAGATGCACAAGTCAAGATCTATTATGAAAAACAATTCTTTGCCATTTTTGGACGTTAACAAACTACTTGCTCATCAAGATAAGGCACATAAAGTAGTGACTCTAACACATTAGTATACTAAGTGCATAAAAATATCTCACTGTCATAGTGTCTCCATCACACATAAAGCACAAAAATCCCTGCAGAAGATTGAAGGTGCAACAAGCAACACAACTCTGACCATATAAGCGATCTAACACCTGGATTTGATCAATGCAGTAAAAACACAATAAATGTCGACGGATTTACCAATATACCCCTGGTTTGAGTAAAATGAAGGTTATATTCAGCCTTTCAATGATTGTTGATTAGGATAATAATACAAACAAACATGTAAGTCCCTGTCGAGTGGATACTACTGTTCCGTCTTAGTTTAATTGATTGGTTATTGAATGCAGCTGCTAATGCCACATGCAGTGCTGTGTAGGCTTTGTACTGTATTTATATGTACTTCTAACATTCCTTACTTAACAAAGGTGACACTTAATAATACTTTTTTTTTTTTAACGTACATGTACTTCAAAACGTTTTTCTTGGTTGAGAGAAAACAAAAAGTGACAGCTTTGGTAAAAGTGCATTTTCAACAATCATCATATAGTAGTATTTGTATGCATCAAACTCAAATAAAACACAAACTCAAATACATTTTTTTCTTTTATCGAAGATGAGCAATATATACAACCAGATATATTCATAGAAAATAATAAATTATAATTGTAAAAAAAAAAGAAATGGAAAAAATTAATGTTAAGTCCATCCATCCATCCATCTTCTCCCGCTTATCCGTGGTCGGGTCGCGGGGGTAGCAGTTCCAGCAGAGAGCCCCAAACTTTCTTTTCCCTGGCCACATCAACCAGCTCTGACTGGGGGATCCCAAGGCGCTCCCAGGCCAGCGAAGAGATATAATCCCTCCACCTGGTCCTAGGTCTACCCCTTGGTCTCTTCCCAGCTGGACGTGCCTGGAACACCTCCCTAGGGAGGCGCCCAGGTGGCATCCTTACTAGGTGCCCGAACCACCTCAACTGGCTCCTTTCGACGCGAAGGAGGAGCGGTTCAACTCCGAGTCCCTCCCGGATGACTGAACTTCTCACCTTATCCCCAAGGGAGACGCCAGCCACCCTGCGGAGAAAACCCATCTCGGCCGCTTGTATCCGCGATCTCGTTCTTTCGGTCATGACCCATCCTTCATGACCATAGGTGAGGGTAGGAAGGAACATGGCCCGGTAGACAGAGAGCTTTGCCTTCTGGCTCAGCTCTCTTTTCGTCACAACGGTGCGGTAAAGCGACTGCAGTACCGCTCCCGCTGCTCCGATTCTCCGGCCCATCTCACGCTCCATTGTTCCCTCACTCGAGAACAAGACCCCGAGATACTTGAACTCCTTCACTTGGGGTAAGGACTCATTCCCTACTTGGAGTGGACAGTCCATCGGTTTCCTGCTGAGAACCATGGCCTCAGATTTGGAGGTGCTGATCCTCATCCCAGCCGCTTCACACTCGGTTGCGAACCGATCCAGTGAGTGCTGAAGGTCGCAGACCGATGAAGCCATTAGAACCACATCATCTGCAAAAAGCAGTGGTGCAATCCTTAGTCCACCGAACTGCAGACCCCCTCCCCCACAACTACGCCTCGAAATCCGATCCATGTATATTACAAACAGGATTGGTGACAAAGCGCAGCCCTGGCGGAGGCCAACCCTCACCGGAAATGGGTCCGACTTACTGCAGAGGACCCGGACACAGCTCTCGCTTTGGGAGTACAGAGATTGGATGGCCCTGAGTAGAGACCCCCTCACCCCATACTCCCGCAGCACCTCCCACAGTAACGCCCTGGGAACTCGGTCAACCAACGTTGATGAGACGTGTCAACCATGACAGTCCCTCAACACCCAGAGCCTTCAGCATTTCTGGGTGGATCTCATCCACCCCCGGGGCTTTGCCACTGTGGAGTTGTTTGACGACCTCAGTGACCTCCCCCCGGGAGATTGGTGTTGATCCCCCGTCATACTCCAGCTCGGCCTCTAACATAGAGGGCGGAGTTGTCGGGTTCAGGAGTTCCTCAAAGTGTTCCTTCGAACGCCCTAACACTCCATCAGTTGAGGTCAACAACGTCCCATCCTTACTGTACACAGCTTGGATGGTTCCCTGCTTCCCCCTCCTGAGGTTTCGGACAGTTTTCCAGAACAACTTTGGTGCCGCCCGAATTAATGTTAAGTGTTTTTCATAATAAAAATAAACTTGCTCATCTTACTGTATATGCTGAATTGGCCTAACAACAAACAACTGGCCTAACAGCAAATGTCTATATCCTGTGTTGGTCTAACTTGCTCATCTGTGTGCAACTTTGGGCTGAATGCCATGCATGAAAGGTGCTGTATAAATTATTATCGCTCTTTCACTCTGAGACTCATAAGGCAGTACTAGATTTAGTAATATTACCATGAATCTAGCTATTTACCGTATTTTATTGGAAAACATCTCTAAAACTCTAAAAAAAAGTCGTATTGCTAGTTTACAATATGAAGGCCAATTCGACCGGTTGGTTGAGCCTATTTTCCAAAAAATAATTGCACCCTTGTTACAAAAATGTTTTGTGCATCAAGTTAAATAATTCTGTTCAGTAAGTGCTCTGACACTAAAATATGTCAAAAATGATATGGTTACCTTACAAAAGTTGACCAAAAGAGTGATTTCTTCAGGAGTGATTTTTAGCATGCCAAATTTCTCAGTGGAAGCTAGCTGAAGGGCTTTCTGTTCAAACCACAGCGACATCTGGAGGTTGTGTTGTGCATAACATGTCAACCAAACGGTAGAGCTGGCTGAATCAGATGGAGTTACACTTTTTTATTGTTTTTTCAACAAGATATCGAGACACAAAATGTGCTCTACTAAATGGTGGTGCTGGCTGTTAAAAGTTAAGACAGCATCATCATCATCAGGAAGGATTTCAAGATGGCGCCTGTGTCGGCTCGCCGCTCCCTCAGCTCTCTGCCTTTAGCTATCCTGTTTTTGTTGTATGTATGTCAGAATGTCTCTGCTCTGCTCATCTATGATCGCCAAGCTCTCCTCCACCTCAGACCCTCATTGGAGTTGATATTGCTGCCCAAACTCACATCTGACAACCATACATCGTCCCCCTCTACTGTGGGATATTCCCTCCTACTTGCGCCGGCTGCCTCACCGAAAGCGCTTTAGACGCCGGGGAAAGCGTGCTGGTGCACTGGTCTCTTCACGCCTCGGATGTCATGGCCCTCCCGCTGCACGCCATGTGAGGGATCGATGGATTGATTCGCCGTATTCTTCCGGAGCTGCGGCCTCTGCTGGGCCCGCTGCCAGCCCCTCCTGCCCGACTGACTGCTCCCGGCCCGCGCGGTGTCCAACACGCAAATCTTCGTCAGCTGAGACGAGCTACTCCTTCCGCCAGCCCGGAGCGACCACTTAGCATGGCTTTGCTAAATGCTAGGTCGATAGCAAACAAAACGTTCCTGCTAAATGACTTCTTCACCTCTCGTGAACTGGATTTTATGTTTCTGACGGAGACCTGGGTCCACGCTGGCGAGTATACATCGTTCTCTGAACTTCTTCCTCCTGACTGTACATTCTTCAGCTCTCCCCGCACCACTGGCCATGGTGGGGGCATAGCATCAGTGTTTAGAGCTAGCCTACAATGCCGATTGCTTCACCATGTAACTAGCTACGCTAGCTTTGAGTTGCAGCTTTTTGAACTGAACCCGGCCTCACCTATACTCTGCGCAGTCGTGTATCGTCCGCCAAAATGCAATAAGGATTTCATAAATGACTTTTCTGACTTTCTGTCCGGGATCATGGTGAAATATGATCGTATCTTGTTCTGCGGAGACTTCAATGTTCATGTGTGTTGCGAGTCAAAACCTCTGGTTAGGGACTTTTTAAATCTCCTTGATTCTTTTGGTCTCGTTCAGTCCGTGGCTGGCCCAACACACGAAAAAGGACACACCTTAGATTTAGTATTATCATTTGGACTGTCTGTCTCTGTGGATGAAATCTGTGCAGCAACGCGTATCTCAGACCATTTACCGGTTCTGTTTACAACCTCGATCCCCTCCGCAGGAGTCGAATCACGTGCCCCTGCGCGCCGTCTGCGTTCGATTAACCCCTTGACTGCCTCACAGTTTTCTGATGTTTTTAATGCTTCTCTGATCTGTAAATTAGAGATGAACTGTGCTTTTAGTGCTGATGAGCTTATCTCCATGTTTGACTCGACATGTACCCAAATATTCGATTCTGTTGCTCCTTTTACGCTTAGACGCACCAAAATTCTCTCACAGCCGTGGCTCAATGACTGTACTCGTGCTCTCAGACGCGCTTGCAGGCGTGCAGAGAGAAAATGGAAAAAGGACAAACTCCATGTCTCCCTAGAAATCCTTCGTGCTTGCCTAGCTGACTACCAGACGGCAGTCAAAGCAGCCAAAACACAGCACATTTCTCTGTTAATCTCCAAAAACAGCCATAAACCTCAGGTTCTTTTTAATGTCCTCGACTCGATCATTAATCCCTGTGATGTTTCTCCAATTGTGCCATCGACTACTCTCTGTGATAAGTTTCTTACATTTTTTATTGAAAAAGTATCTGCTCTTAGGCTAGTGCTACCCCAGATTCTGCTCCCTTTCTGTGCCCTGCTGTCCTCAACCACTTTGAGCCTGTATCCCTCGTATCCCTCTCTTCTCTCTCGGATGTAGTCATGCACCTGCGGCCGACAAACTGCACCTCAGACAGCATTCCCTCTCGCCTTCTCAGAGACGTCTTCGAATCAGTTGGAGCAAGTATTTTATTACTTATAAACACCTCTCTTAGCTCAGGATGTGTCCCAGCTGCCTTCAAACATGCCGTGGTCAAGCCACTACTTAAAAAGAAAAATCTTGACCCCTCCATTCTCGCAAATTTTAGGCCCATTTCCCAGCTACCTTTTTTATCAAAAGCCCTGGAGCGAGTAGTCTACGCCTAGCTGCAGTCTTTCTTAACCACGCATGGCATCCATGAAAAGTTTCAGTCTGGCTTTAAACCCATGCATAGTACTGAAACAGCCCTTTTAAGGGTTTTTAATGATCTGCTCCTAGCCGCCGACTCAGGCAGCCCAGCTGTCTTGGTGCTGTTAGACCTGACAGCTGCCTTTGACACTGTGGACCATAGCATCCTGTTTTCACGGCTTGAACAGTCCGCAGGCATCACAGGCTCTGCCCTTGCAGGTCTTACCTGACAGACCGTAGCTTTTTAGTGCAGCTAGGTGCCTTCTCCTCTGCCAAAGCCCCTCTTACCTGTGGGGTCCCCCAAGACTCAATTCTGGGCCTCATCCTCTTTTTACTGTACATACTGCCCATAGGTTCAATCCTCACGAAACACAATATCCCCTTCCACTGCTACGCGGACGATGTACAGATCTATCTGCCTCTCAAAGCAAATGTCAACTCACTACAGCAGTTGATGGATTGCTTAACAGAGTTAAAATCCTGGCTGAGCAAAAACTTCCTCAACTTCAATGAGAGCAAGACCGAGGTAATCTTTTTTGGACCCCAACCTCTAGCCTCTCCGGTTGATATTCTGGGCTCCCTAAGTAAAAACATCCTCCCCTCTGTCTTGAACCTTGGAGTGACCTTTAATAGCACTTTTAAATTCGACAGGCAGGTCAGCACCGTAGTAAAATCCTGCTTTTTAAAATAAGACTATTGGCCAAAACCAAGTCGTATTTATCTTTTAAAGACCTGGAAAGGGTTATTAACGCCTTTGTGACCTCAAGACTGGACTATTGTAACGCTCTGTATGTGGGTATGGACCAGGCATCAATTAAACGCCTGCAGCTAGTCCAAAACGCAGCTGCACGTCTCCTGACTGGCCACAAAAAGCATGACCACATCACCCCAATTCTGGCCTCACTACACTCGCTTCCAGTCCGGTTCAGAATTCATTTTAAAATCCTTTTATTTGTATTTAAAGCACTAAATGGGTTGGCTCCGGCCTATATAGCTGAACTCCTCCAGCGCTACACCCCAGCCAGAGCTTTAAGATCTGCTGACCAGCTGCTGCTGGTAGTGCCTAAGACCAGGCTCAAAACCCGAGGGCACCGAGCCTTCGCAGCAGCTGGCCCCAGGCTCTGGAACACTCTTCCCCTCCATGTGAGGTCGGCCCAGACCCTAGGGGCTTTTAAATCCACACTGAAGACACACTACTTCTCTCTGGCCTTCTAGTTAGAGTGGGGTAACGACTCCTGACTGTTCCATGTGTTGTTTTTATCTGTTGTGATTTATTGTGATGTAATGTGTTTTTATGTGTTTAAATTACATGTACAGCACTTTGGCTCGACCAAAATCGTTTTTAAATGTGCTCTACAAATAAAACTTAATTTGATCAACAGGGTGTGTCACTTTGCTGAAGGATAGACCAGGATATTCTCTAAAGATTTCCCAAGGGGTAAAAGCTGCTGCTGGAGTACTGACTGGAAGTAGTGCTGATATCATGTCTACCATATCCTCTTAAAATACTCAGTGCAACAATATAAGCCTAATGACACATTTGTATTTAAGATGCATTCTTGTACTAAGGAGGGGAATTTGAAAGAGAATAGCTGAAAAAGTACTTGTTGGTGTAGTTAAATTAGTATACTGAGTCAAACAGTATCACTCTCATTAAGAATTTATGGCAGAAAATAATTGTATCTCTCATCAAAGATAGCAGACAACATGCATTGTTGTAGTCAAGAGGGGAGTTTGACAGAGGATCACTCAAAAAGTACACAGTAAAAGTAGGCTACTCTAAATAGTATTTATCAATCCTCAACCTCCAAGCTGTTTTAATGTAGTTTTGAAGAAAAAACCCTCGATGCTGACTTGACCACGCAAACGGGAAATACGCCCGAATCAATGCAGCAGTGTCAGTAACATCATACAGAGCAATACTCATACTTTATAAGATAGGGATTCATGGCTGACAGTGCAAGACAGATCGTGAGACAGACAGACAGACAGACAGACAGACCGACAGACGCGCACACACATACGCACACACACACACACGGACAGACTGTCTTCATGTAGCCATATATTCAATGTATATGTGTGCTAACACACGCACTGCACTGTCTAGGCAAAGAGTATGAACCTTTATTTTGAAGAGTAGCCTACAAGGGGCAAACTAGCCAATCAGAAGCAAGGAGGCACTGGAGACCCACCCATCTATAGAAACGAAACATTGCGTGGTAGGCTATACTTGTTTTAACAGTACGAACAGAAAAATGAAAAAACAAGCTGAATTTCCGTTTTGGGGCAAAATTGAAAAACAAAACAACGATTTAATGTTTCAATTAGAACTAAAAAAACAAACGGTTAAAACGTACCTTTGTCCTCCTCTCCTCGAGTCGTGTCCTCGCAGAAAAAAATGAATATTCCTCTCCTGGGAAGGTGGAAGGATTTCACCTAGGCCTATTTAATGGCCCCGCACTACATGAGATGCTCCTCTTGCGTGAGCGCACGGGGGTGCAAAGAAAAAGCAAACCCTCCACAAAAGAACACAACATCCGTCCTCCTGTGCCTGATAACGGTGTGTTCCCTGCGCCACAGCGGCACCTCTGTCGCTCAGATCAGAGGATGCTGCAGATGCACTGCGGTAAAAAACCTCCGTGTGTGACTGAGCGGATCCTGCTTGTGACGCCTGCTGTAGTTCCAGGGGCGGATCTAGACAAATATGCATGTGGTGGCAAGAGGGTGGCAGGAGATTTTGAGGGGTGGCATCCCCTGGCAGAAGTATATGCTGATTTAATCGCAGTGAAATCAATCAATGTTAACTTGAAAAGCCACAATATTGATATTTTAACTCAATTACATTAGGTGACATTATTGTGGCACATCAGTAAAGCCTTAAATATAAATATATGAGGTGGCAGGTTTACATAATTTAATGAATTGTAACTGAACAATAACAAATAAAAGACCAGCAAGGGTACCACATATATGCAGACTGCTGCAATAAGTACATTAATTAACTGTCTCATCAATGTTTGTCTGAATTAATATGATAATATTAACAATCATATTATTCCTATCAGCTGTCAATCACTGTTATGATTCATTCATTTATTATTCAATAAACTATATTTTTTAGAGGAGTTAATGATGAATGTTCCTCAAGATGCTTGCTCACCCTCCTTCAAATTTGAAAAGACAAGTAGCCTAATTACTATCATATATCAAAATTCAAAAGATTCAAAGGAACAGTTTAGCGCCCCACGACTTTACTGCAAACAACCTTGACTTTACATCAGAAAGAACAAACATTAAAGAAGTGACTAACTGCATCAATTAGGGTTAAAAAACGTGTATTCAGCTAAAACATATACATCGCTTCAGTTATTATCCAGTGGAAATTCCTTACCTACTGGCCTAGTTAAATCCTTTGTGCCTGTAACCATCAGGCTGCACAACAAGGGGTCAACAATGTTACTGGACATAAATACACACTGTTTCCATACATCCATGCAAATATATGTAATAGGTATAGATGTTCATTTTCATTTTCATTCATTCTTACTTCATAGTTTATATGACCCATGTGTAGCTATATATGCTCATTTTTATTTTTAATTCATTTCTTATTTCATAGTTTTTCATCATTTTTATTTGTATCTTTGATTTTATTAATCTTTGTGAATCTGTGCTGTCCTGTTTTTCATTCTTACCCTGTTGCTGTTTGAACTACTGAATTTCCCCACAGGGATTGATAAAGGTCCATTTTATCAAAGTGGTTACTTTTTTTGGCTGCGCAGTGAAGTTTTACACCGTCTTATTTGACTTTCTCAGGACTTAAAACTTATTTTTGGGGGAAGACCCCACAAAGAGAAATATATACACACACTGGTCATAATTTTAACAGTTTTTTATGATCATCCATTCCGTGAGCAGAGCATGAAATTGGCATGCCTATAACAGCTGAATGCGGCGATTACCATGTTGTTCAGCAAAACGCCTCACAAACTGATTAAGAAGACCCAAAGCTTTAGTGCATTTTGATTCAATGCTGAGTACAGCCAAACTTGACGGTCTCTTCTCTGTCATTATAGACCGCAAATACCTCATTCCTTCCGTCTACTTGAGTCCGAATGCTTCTCGTTTTGCGCCATCCAGTTCAAATTAAATCGCCGTCAATCATATTTTTCCACGCTCGCGCCAGGGCCGGGGCAGGGGTTACAAGGCTCGCAAATTTGTGCTGCATTCACTTGCACTCGGACATTAGAGATTTTCTCTCATAAATGTCCGATGAGCCACAACTTTTCTTTCAAAACAAAGCTGCCAACTGGGGTGGCAGCTGGGGTGGCAAGGCTATTTTTAGGGTGGCAGTTGCCACCCCATGCCACCCCGGTAGATCCGCCCCTGTGTAGTTCCTGCCCCGCTGGTTTTAAACTGATGCTAGCTTAGCTTTGTCTGAAAACACTGCGGGGGCCTCAGCCTACGTCCTCACCTAGCGCACATATCACGTTTATTAAAGGGCTTTAATAGTGGTGGGAGCTGATATTATGGTGAACTGGCCCTTTAACTGAGCTCCAGGGGGGCGTGGTCAGCCTAAAAATGGCATCGACAGATGATGTTCATTTAAAGGTCCCATGACATGGCCATTTCTACTGATCATAATTCCATTGTTGAGGTCTACTAGAATAGATTTACATTGTTCAATGTTCCAAACTCACATTGGTTTCTCATACAGCATCTCTGTATAGTATGTGTATTCACTCTCTGTCCTACACGGCTTGTTGGATCTCCTGCCCCCCCCCCCCCCTCCCTATGAGCCTACTGTGCTCTGATTGGTCAGCTCGCCCACTATGTTCTGATGAGTCCACCACCATACAGCGGAACATCAGTGAGTATGTGTTCAGTGGCGGAGCTGGGGGGTGACTGAATCCTGGCCACCCTATTGGTCACCCCAAACACCCTCACCACGGGGGCCCAAACAATTGTAGAACATTAAGAAAAAAATGTTTAAGTAACCTTTCATCATTCATCAAGAATTAACATTAAAGGTGGGGTAGGTAAGTTTGAGAAACCGGCTCGAGATACACTTTTTGTTATATTCTATGGAATACTCTTAACATCCCGATAGCAATGAATATCTTAAGTGCTTTGACAACAAATCCATAAGAACATTTCATCTGTGGAAGCCGTAGTACTGTAAAAAGCACGACCAATAATTTTAGCCGGCCCGGCTAAAATAACTGGATGGCCTACCTGCCTGTCAGCCTTCCATCTGTGCACAAACTTATCTCGTGCCCTCATTGGTCATGTGCGTGTTCGTGTGTGTTGGAGGAGGGGCTCTGTAAGGAAGTGGCAGATATTTTCCGGCTGTGTATTTTCAAATTCTAGCGCACTCGAGCTGGTTTCTCCAAAATTACGTACCACCTTTAATAGAACGTTATATTGATAATGTACTCAATAAACTTATAATTCATTTAACTTATTTTCTTCCTAAAGTTAATTGTCCAAAGCCTCTGTACACCCCCTTCTATTTACATGTAATGGTTTGGTCCTGCCTCCAGACGCAGCGGCACTGGCACTTCTAGCAGAGAGTGAGAGCATGTGAGGAGGGATGCTAATACTTACGTGTGAACCATGTCTCAACGACTAACAAAGTCAGGCTTTCAAAAAAGAAAGGAGAGAAAGACAAGAGAGAGGGACTAAAGGGCGACAGTATGCAGGGCCGCCCCTGGCCAACTTGGGGCCCCAAGCGACATTGTGAGATGAGGCCCCCCCCCCCCCAACCGACAGTTGTTTTTGGAAACAAAGTAAGCTACTTTGTAAATATAATTCCTGTTTATTATTATTATTATCAACACAGTTACTTTTTTATACAGTGAGGTAAATGGTAAATGTGCATGTATGTCGTTCAGTATGCGTTTACAGGTGAATTTTGCATTTCCTGCCAAATACTAGCCTCAAAAAGATTAAAATATAATTAATGCAAATAAACTACTTCTACTAATAATAATCATAATCAATTCAATAATATAAATATATTGTTTTATTATAATATAGTTGTAATATAGTCAAGACAAAACATGCTTATGACATGCTCAAAAACTGACATTTCTTAAATCTGTATTCTAGTTCCCTCTGTCAGCAATGCATCAACAACTACACACACATTTCTATCAGTGTTTCTCTGTGTTGTGGTTGACATGATGATGACTGTTAGGAGTTCAGGGGAGAGGCTGAGCATCACCATGATGATGACTGCTAGGAGTAAAAGTTTACTTTTTATTCATATATTTTTTCTTTTAATGTTTCTTTTATTATCTTTTACTGTTTTGAAATGCCTTTGTCTGAATGTCTTTCATTTTTGTAAAGCACCTTGAATTGCCTTGTGTTGAAAGGTGCTGTATAAATAAACTTGCCTTGCCTTAAGGGGAGAGGCTGAGCGTCACCATGAAATGTGCAAATTGACATAAAAATGAATAAAAGGGGGAAAAAATGCTCCATGTTTTTTAGGCTGTAAACTTTAACTGTTATGTAAGCCAACTAGACAGACAGTGTATCACTCTTCCTCCTGTACATTAGCAGATAAAAGGCATAACATACTTGAATGAATGGTAAATAAAGAATGCTGGAAATAACTGCATCTCCATTAGCCTGTATGCTCTGCAGAGACTGCCTTCTTCATGTCCTGAATTGCAGCTGATGTTTTAATATGGCAATTGGCAATTTGACTTATACAACATTCGTAAGTTGTACATTTGACTCATACAATAACCCACCTTCGAGTGATGCTCTAGTTTCTTCATGTTTTGTTTTTTGCGCCGGACTGAAACTGTCTTTTCACCGACATCTCTTCACCTGCACTAGTGGCCGTATCAAAGCCGTGATTGGTCAGATGTCGATTCATTGCAACGGTGTCGGGTTACACACGTGCTCCCCTTGTCTCACCTCTCACTCTCGCGGGGGGTGCGCGGAGAACTGCGCACAGCAGCTGAGGCCCTCTGGGCGGGGCCCCATGCAGCCTGCGTGATTGGCCTGTAGGGAGGGGCGGCCCTGACAGTATGTCACCATGTTTTTCAAAAGAAAAGGTGGGTGTGGTCCATGAGTGGTGGAAATTCGTCTGTTAGCTAAGCATTGTCCATTGTAAATAATAATTTACTAAGCTGACATTAAGTAGCCTACTGTTAATATCTTCACAGAAAATTCAGAGGTTTTTCATTTCACTCCTCTTTTAGCTGACATTTAATAAATGCAGGTACATTTTTAGCAGCTATTCATACTAAATCAGTTGTCCCTCCCCCTGGTGCCAGGACCAACAGATCCATCTTTACGCTCATCAGCCCTGTCCCCCCATAATGCTGAACCTTAACCAGCTTTTCTCCCAACTGAAGGAGGTGAGCAGCATTGTGTTGAATGCCATGCCACTTAACATATTTGAAGGCAGACTGGAATACAAAATATATATATATCAACAACATCTAATTTCAATTATACATTTCAAACACAGTATTTTTCCACATATGTAAGTTATATTTATTTGGATTTATGCATTCATGTTGAGAATGTTCCATTCAAAAATGTTATTATTAAAAAGGCATTTACACCATAAAAGATGACTATTGAGATCTATTGTCACGAATGTTAGTCTTATATCAAATAGTGAATTCTACTGCAGCAGAATGTTGCACATCTGCACA